CTTCCCCCAACTCTTCTATAAAAATACAGGAGTTCTGTCTGACTTTTGGCTGTGGGTCTCTGCATCTGTTTTAGCTTCTGGGTGGAGGTTCTCAGAGGCCAGTTAGCTAGGCTACTACCTGTAAGCATAGCAGAGTATCATTAATAGTGTCAGGAATTGGTGTTTGCCCATATGATGGGTATCACATTGGGTTGGTTATTGGTTGGCCATCCCTCAGTCTCTGATTCATCTTTGTCCCTGCATTGCTTGCAGACAAAACAAATTTTGAGTCAAAAGTTTTGTGGGTGAGCTAGTGAAGAGGCTGGACAGCCAGCGACAGCCTCAGCACTTCTGTCACCTCAGCACTTCTCCTCGACTCAGCACTCCCTGGCTATCACAAAAGCTCACCTTTACCTTCTTGCTCCTTCCCATCTGACACTTCTTAGGAGGCACATTCCAGTGCTGAAATTCAGCAATCATTCCAATAGCACTCTCTAAAGCAAACTCCCTCTGGGGAATGAATGGCAAGTGCTAGCCTGAGAACAGATAAACAGCCACTACTCCCAGACCCCATGTAGCCAAGGCTGGTACCCTCTCTGATGGATAGCTAGAGACACTCCCGTGCAGGTGGGCCCTGTCCTTGGGAGAAGCGAAAAACCACACATCCTTAGAGAGATTAAGCGCCATGTTTTGGGGCAATCAAGCGTTTCCAGACACCTATGACCAGTTTGTAAAATCACTTATTCATGATAGCACCATAAAGACCAAAAGAGCTTCCCTCCCCAATTATGTGACCCATCCACCACCTAAACAAATGGCGTTTAAAAAATTACTTCCTTTATTATTTCCCTTGCCATGCAACTCTGAAACCCAAAAATCTGCTTGTGTACAAATGCCCTAAGCCCCTAGACATGGGATCGCAATCCTGCCCTGCACAGTGGGAACAGATTGCAATTCAAACTGGATTCGAATTTATTAAAAGGCTCTTTGTCTCACTACATCGGATTAAGCAAGTCTTTGAGCTCTCCTGGGATCCTGAGACCTGGGCATAACATTGGTATCTTTATCATCCATTGGTGATCCTGTCTGTCTACAGGAGGTGGTCTCTTCAGGTTCCATATCCCCACTGCTCAGAGTATTAGCTAAAGTCACCCCCATAGACTACTGGAAACCTTCCCCATCACAGGTCTCTGGGACATCCTAGAGATTCCCACAAACTCACCAGTTGCCAATTTCCATTCATTTTCCTGTCCCTCTGGCCCTCTCTTCTGTTACTTCCTACACCCGATCATCCCCACTCCTCAGGTCCCTCCGCATTCCCTCTTCCACTCAGCTCCCAACCTTCCTCTGCCTCCTATGGCAATTTTATTCCACCTTCTTACTGAAAATCATCCTCCTTGGATCTTCCTTTTTCTTTATTTGGGTCTGTGGAGGATAGTGTGGGGAAGCTGTACTTTTATGGGCTAATATCCACTTATATGTGAGTGTATACCATACATGTCTTTTTGGGTATGATTATCTCACTCAGGATAATATTTTCTAGTTCCATCCATTTGGCTGCAAATTTCATGAAGTCTTGGTTTTTAGTAGCTGAATAGTATTTCATTGTGTAAATGAACCATATTTTTTGTATTTATTCTTTGGTTGAGTGGCATGTGAGTTGTTTCCAGTTCCTGGTATTATAAATAAAGCTGCTACAAACACAGTGGAATATGTTTTCTAATAGTATGGTAGAATGTCTTTTGGGTATATGACCAGGACTGGTATAGGTGGGTCTTGATGTAGAACTATTTCCAATTTTCTATGAAATAATCAAATTGATTTCCAGAGTGATTGCATAAGTTTGCTCTCCCACCAGCAATGGAGGAGTGTTCCCTTGCTCCACATCCTCACTAACATGTGCTGTCTCCTTGAGTTTTTGATCTTAACAATTCTGATGGGCATAAGATGGAACATCAAGGTCATTTTGATTTGCATTTCCTTGATGTCTAAGAATGTTGAATATGTCATTTAAGTGTTTCTAAGTCACTTGAGATTCCTCTGTTGAGAATTCTTAGTTTGACTCTCTAGCCAGTTTTTTTTTTTAATTAGATTATTTGGTTTGTTGGTGTCTAACTTCTTGAGTTCTTTATATATTTTGGATATTAACCTTCTGTTGTAGGTAGGGTTAGTGAAGACAATCTCTAGTCTGGAATTGTGATGTATTGACAGTGTCCTTTCTTTACAGGTGCTTTACAGTTTCATGAGGTCTCATTTATTCTTGACCTTAGTGCCTAAGCTAGCTGCTGTTCTGTTCAGGAACCTGTGTTCCTTGCCTTTGCGTTCAAGACTACTTCCTATTTTCTCTTCTGTTAGATTTAATAGATTGGATTTTATATTGAAGGATCTTTGATCAACTTGGAATTGCATTTTATACAGTGTGATAAATATGGATTTATTTGCATTTTTCTATATGCAGACATCCGGTTAGACCGGCCCATTTCTTGAAATGGCTTTCTTCTTTCAATAGTATGGTTTTGGCTTCTTTATCAAAAATCAAGTGCCCATAAATATGTGGGTTTATTTCTTGATCTTTGATTCGATTCCATTAAGTAGCTTGTCTGTTTCTATACCAATACCATGCAGTGTTTTTTGTTATTGTTTGTTTTTTGTTTGTTTACTATTATTCTGTAGCACAGCTTTAGATCAGGGAATGTGTTGCTTCCAGAACTTCATTTATTGTTCAGGGTTGTTTTAGCTATTCTGTCTTTGTTGTTTGTTTGTTTGTTTTCCATATAAAGTTGAGAATTGCTCTTTCAAGGTCTCCAAAATATTATGTTGGAATTTTGATGGGAATGGATTTTAATCTGTAGGCTGCTTTTGGTTAAATGGCTATTTTCACTATGTTAATCCTACCAATACTTGAGCATGAAAGATTTTTCCATCTTCTGATTTCTTCAGTTTCTTTCTTGAGGGACTTGAAGTTTTTGTCATATAGGACTTTCACTTAGTTATTTTATATTTTGTATTTTATATGTGGCTTTTGTGAAACATGTTATTTCTCTATTTCTTTCTCTGCCCATTTATCTTTTATATAAAGAATGGCTACTGATTTCTTTGTGTTAATTTTATATCCAGCCACTTTACTGAAGGTGTTTATTAGCTGTAGAAATTCTCTGGTAGAATTTTGAAGGTCACTTATGTATACTATCATATCATTTACAAATAGTGATACTTTGACTTCTTCCTTTCCAACTGGTATCTCCTCTATCTGTTTTAGGTGCCTTATTGCTCTATCTAGTACTTTATTGAATAGATAGAGAGTGGGAAGTCTTGTCTTGTCCCAAATTTTAGTGGATTACTTTAAGTTACTCTCTATTTAATTTGATTTTGGCTATTGGCTTACTGTATATTGCTTTTATTATGTTTAGTTATGTGACTTGTACCCTTGATCACTCCAAGACTTTTAACATGAAGGGGTGTTGGATTTTTTCAAAGGTTTTACAGCATTAAATGAGATGATCATGTGATTTTTTTTCTTTCAGTTACTTATAAGATGCATTTCATTTATTGAACTATTGTACCTGCCTCCTTGGGATAAAGACTGCTTGACCTGGTGAATGATGATTTTGGTGTATTCTCGAATTTGGTTAGGAAGTATTTTATTGAGTATTTTTGGATTGATGTTTATGAGAGGAATTTGTCTGAAATTCTCTTTCTTTGTTGACTCTTTGTATGGTTTAGGTATCAGGGTGACTGTGACTACATAGAATGAGTTTGGCAATGTTCCTTCTGCTTTCATTTTTGTAAGAGTTTGAGGTGTATTGGTATTAACTCTTCTTTGAAAATCTCTCAGTATTTTGCACTAAAAATCTTCTGCCCCTTGACTTCTGTTGTTGTTGGGAGAGTTTAAATGACTGCTTCTATTTCCTTACAGGATATAGGACTCTTTGAATCATTTATCTGATCTTGATTTAACTTTGGTAACTTGTATCTGTCTAGAAAATCATCCATTTCATTTAGATTTTCTTATCCGTGGAGTACATGTTTTTGATGTAAGATCTAATGATTTTATGAATTTCCTCAATGTCTGTAGCTATATCTCCCTTTCCATTTCTGATTTGATTAAATTGGACATGCTCTCAGCCTTTTAGTTTGTTTAGCTAAGGGTTTGTTTTTCTTTTTCTTTTTTTAATGAACCAGCTCATGATGTTGTTAAGTCTTTGTATTGGTCTCTTTGTTTCTAATTGATTGATTTCAGTCTGGAGTTTGTTTATTTCTTCTTGGATGTGTTTGCTTCATTTTGTTCTACAACTTTCAGGTATGTTTTGAAGTTGCTAATACCAGATTGCTCCAACTTCTTTATAATAGCAATTAGTGCTATGAACTTTCCTCTAAGACCTGCTTTCATTGTGCACCACAAGTTTGGGTATGTTGTTCCTTCATTTTCATTTCTAGAAAATCTTTGATTTTTTTCGTACTTTCTTCTTTGACCCAGTGGTCATTGATTGCATGAGATTGTAGGCTTTCTGTTGTTTCTGTTGTTGCTGTTGCTGCTACTGTCTTCCTTTGATCAATTGTGATCTGATAAGATGCAAGGGGTTGTTACAATCTTCTTTAATCTGTTGAGCCTTGCTTTGTGACCAAGGATATGGTATATTTTGGAGAGGGTTCCATAAATTGCTTCAAGGAAAGTATGTTCTTTTTTGTTTGGGAGAAAGGTTCTGTAGAGATCTGCTAAGTATATTTGGTTTATAATATGTTAGTTTTATTATTGCTCTGTTTAGTTCCTGTTTTGATGACCTGTCCATTGGTGAGTGTGGGGTTTTGAAGTTCCCCACTATTAAGGTGTCGAGTTTGAGATGTAATTTATGCTTTAGCAATGTTACTTTTACAAATATTGGTGCCCTTGCATTTGGGACATAGATGTGCAGAATTGAAATAGCATCTTGGTGGAGCAGCAAGCAGCAGGGAAACGCAACCCTCCACCCCAGTCAGCCTCCGCGTGTTTTCCCTCTGTCGGGAGAGCGCCAACGCCTGGGCCGACCCAAACCTTGTCCCCAAATGGCGAGAACAACAACGACATCATCCAGGATAACGGGACTATCATTCCTTTCCGGAAGCACACAGTGCGTGGGGAGCAGTCCTACAACTGGGGAATGACGGTCAATGTATATTCTACCTCGATAACCCAGGAGACTAGGAGCAAGCATGACATCATTGCATGGGTTAATGACATAGTGTCTCTAAACTACACAAAGGTGGAACAGCTCTGCTCAGGAGCGGCCTATTGCCAGTTCATGGACATGCTCTTCCCAGGCTGTATTAGTTTGAAGAAAGTAAAATTCCAAGCAAAGTTGGAGCATGAGTATATTTACAACTTTAAATTTCTTCAAGCGTCCTTTAAACGGATGAATGTTGATAAGGTAATCCCAGTGGAGAAGCTGGTGAAGGGGCGTTTCCAAGACAAGCTGGAGTTTATTCAGTGGTTTAAGAAATTCTACGATGCTAACTATGATGGGAAGGAATACGATCCTGTCGAAGCCCGACAAGGACAAGATTCAATTCCTCCCCCTGACCCTGGTGAACAGATCTTCAACCTGCCCAAGAAGTCTCACCATGCAAACTCGCCCACAGCAGGCGCAGCTAAGTCAAGTCCTGCAGCTAAGCCAGGATCCACACCTTCTCGCCCCTCGTCCGCCAAAAGGGCTTCATCCAGCGGCTCAGCATCCAGATCTGACAAAGATTTAGAAACACAAGTCATACAGCTCAACGAGGATGTCCATTCACTGAAGCTTGCCCTGGAGGGTGTGGAGAAGAAGAGGGATTTCTACTTCGGGAAGCTGAGAAAAATTGAGCTGCTGTGCCAAGAACACGAGCAGGAAAACGACGACCTTGTACAGCAACTCTTGGAGGTGCTCTACGCTTCTGACGAGCAGGAGGGCCAAACAGAAGAGCCTGAAGTGGAGGAGCAAGCCCATGAACAGCAGCCCCAGCAGCAAGAAGAGTACTGAACCGTCTCATCAGCTCATGACACTTCCATCGTGCGTGGGGACTTTCCTTCCAGACATTGGAACGTGTGTGGCCTGGAGCGCAGTAGAAACCAGCTGTTCCCAACCTGTTCTCATCCACAGCCATCTTGCATCCACCAGCCATTGCTCTTGGTTCCCACTTCCTCTGCCAAGATGCGTTAGCAGATGGCCATTCTGGTCAGCTCCCTGCCAGGTCATAGGGTCACATGCCTTCAACTTCACCACCTGGCTGCTTGAGACTGGTTCTACTCCTCCCTCATAACTATGTCCCACCCAACACCACCACCACCACTACCACCCCTTTTTATCCTGGTGTGAACAAAGGTAATTTGATATATGGTATTTATATTGGCATTTTTCAACCCAGTGTCAGTAGATGTCACGCGCATTTGTGGTGCTTTGATGTTTGCGAGTCTAACCTCCTCTTATAAATTTGGTCAGATAATTAATTGAAACAAAGGGAAACAGATATTTGATATGAAAGCCATATGACAGTAGCTTATGTCATGGGGAAAACACTTTCTCCCTCTACTCACAACACTAAAGGGAAAACAATGGATTCAGAACTATGACTTCAGGGCCCAGCAGTGTTGATAGAGCAGCACGTTAGACAACCACACAGTCGTTAGTTTTCAGACATTCGCTCACGGACAATACCATCTCAGCTTTGCCCTTGCTCCGTGTGTCCCCACCCTCCTTCTCCCAGGTTCTCCTGTTATTTTCTTTCTCAGGGTCCTTTCTTTGGTGGGGGTCCACTCCCGGAAAGATGTTGTCATTGGCAGTCTGCAGTTGCAGAAGGGGGTAGGGTGGTCTCAGAAGGCGCGAGGCTTCCTGCCTCTTCCCTCTTCCTCCTTGTAAGGGCTTCAACCCAAGTCCTCCCGTTCACATTAAAGAATCCATACTAAAGGGAAACGTCCGTGAGGGAGGTGACCACACGCCAGCCTTCTGCATCGTGTCAGTGCTGGCTGTCAAGGCTGGAAGCGAAGACTTGATTGATAGCATGATTTCAAGGGAGAAGTGTAGCCACACACAAAAACACCAATGACTCCCATCACCTTCTGGAGGAAGGACTCCACCCTCTCTGCAACAAGGGGCCCTCCTTGTCACTGACAGTTGATAACCCATGGCAATTCATAAACAGGAAACAGTGAATTGAAAGCATTCCTTGTTTTTAACTAATATTTGCACATTTTCTCAGTCTCCTTCCTGATGGCCGCCTGTCCTCCCCTTGAGACAGATGGTATTCTTCCATAACTCCCTCCATTTTGTTTGATTTTAGCTTTAGGTTTGCTGTCACTGGTCATGTGAGCAGCAAGTGCAGAGAAATGAGAAACAGATGTGCCCACCCCACCTTCCACTTAAAAGAAAAATCTCAAAATAAATTTCTGAATTATCCATCATAAAGCTTTGAAATTTCTTTATTAATTAATGGGAGAGCAACCTTGAATTCTAGCATTGATGCTTCACAACAAGAGAAAGCTCTCCAGACTAAACCTCCACAGCAGCATTGTATGTAACTGAGGTCCTTGTGGCAAAGATGGCTTGTATTTTTGAAATGATCACAACACACTGTGCAGAAGTGGACAGATGTTCCATGGCTTTGGTTCTCCTTCCTTCTCTCTCCTGCTCATTCAGCCCTGCAGCACATCTCTCTGAGGCTGGGAAGCCTCACCCCTCACAGTGATGTCCTCCCAAGCCTGGCCGAGGTAGTGGCCGTGCTCTACAGAGCATCAAGCTTCATGTTGCTTTCCTGAGCCTTTTTTATTCACTCACTTTGTTTTTAGTTTTTTAATAGCTATTATAAAGAGGTACAATAAGCAGCTATTCACAGATACCCGAGTGGTTCCTATACCTGCCCAGGACATCTTAATAACACCCAGGGATGGGGGATTCATGGCCACATTCCTGTGAATGGGTACCAGGGAGTCAGGATCTTTCTTCTCCCAATGCCTCTTGCTGGAAGCACTCTGTTCCTCTCCAAACCTCCCTGGACCTACTGGAGACCTAGCTGTCCTAGCTAGCTGGTGACCTAGCTCCTTGCTGGAGACCCACTGGCTACATGTCTGAAAAGAATGTCACCCCAGCTAGTATACTCCATTTTCCTTCCTAGTGGTGAGCCAGGCCATTCATCCATTTAGAGAGAAGCTGTACCTCCTGTTCGTGTGCCCATCTTAAATATCTTGTGAAGTGCTACATCCCTGATGGTGCCATGGATGCTTTGGGGAATCCTTTGCAGCTATTTCCACCCCTACCTCTGGGCATCTACCATTCGTGGATGGCAGAACACATTTGTTCTCTTATCTTGGCATTCAGGACACACAATCATCTAAGCCCCAGCTCAGCCACAGAACATCACATTGGGTCCAGAGGTAACCCAGTATGGGTCCTTGCTCCTCCCTCTCAAGAAGTTGATTTTTTCCCTCAGTTTCCCCACACCCACTGTTGGCTGTAAGTGCTTCCATTACCACTGTCAGATTGGAAGTGATCGAAGCAAGGGATGAAGCTCTCATTCTAAGTAGAGAAGCAGGAAAAAAAATGTTCAAAAGACAAACACCCTGTTGAACTGAGAGAAGTAAACTCCAGAAGGGAATCAAGATTTCTTCCCTTTGCTGGTGAGTGTTTCCATTATTCCGTTAAGGTTTAATATGCATTCAGATTACTTTTACTAAATAGTACACCATAAAGCTTTTGTTATATATTAAATGTAAACTGAAAGGAATGTAAACATATGTATTGTTAATTATAAATATCGATAAGTAAGGCATACTAGATGAAGAGGTCTTATTCAGATGCATCACATTCATTTTACATTACCCACCTATTGTCGCATGGTAGGATAGCTTTTTGTCTCTGAATATGTGAATAACTTGACTTGCGTTGATCTTTTTACATATTCAATAAAAAAATATGTTAAAAAAAAAGAAATAGCATCTTGGTGGATTTTTCCTTTGGTGAATATGAAATGTCCTTCTCCATCTCTTTTGATTATTTTCATTTGAATATTTATTTTAGTAGATATTAGAATGCCTACTCCAGTTTGTTTCTTGGGTCTATTTATTTGGAAAACTTTTTTCCAGGTCTTTACTCTAAGGCAATGTCTATTTTTGTTGCTAAAAGATGTTTCTTCTATGCCACAGAATGATAAATCCTCTCTTTGCATTGATTCTGTTAGCCTGGGTCTTTTAATTGGGTAATTGAATCCGTTGATGTTGAGAGATATTAATGACCAATGGTTTTTAACTCCTGCTATTTTGATATTGGTGGTGGGAGTGTGTATGTGTGTGTGTGACATGTGTACACATGTTTACATAATTTCTTTTGGTTTTCCTGATGTGAAATTATTTATTTCCTGTGTACTCTTGTGTATAGTTAACCTGTAGGGGTTGAAGTTTTCCCTCTAGTGTCTTTTGTAGAAATTGATGTGAGGATAGATATTGTATAAATTTGGTTTTGTCTTGGAATATTTTTTTTCTTCGTCTATGGGGAATGAAAGTTTTGCTGGGTATCACTGGTCTTTTAGAGACTGTAAGTCATCCACTTAGGCCTTTCTGGATTTTAAAGTCTCAGTTAAAACGTCAGGTGAAATTCTGATAGATTTGCCCTTATATGTTACTTGGCCTTTATTCCTTACAGCTTTTAATATTCTTTCTTTGTTCTGTGCATTAAGTGAAGGAGGGTTTTTTTCTTTCTTTTTTCTTTTTTTTTCTGTTTCAATCTATTGTCTGTTCTGTAAGCTTCCTTTTTGGCTACAGGCATCTCTTTCTTTAGGTTGGGAACGTTTGTCTCCTATGATTTTGTTGAAAATATTTTCTGGACCTTTTAGCTGGGATTCTTCTTCTAATTCTATTATTCTTAGGATTGATCTTTTCATAGTATTCCAGATTTCTTGGGTGTTTTGAGTTAGAACCTTTTTAGATTTATCAATTTCTTTAACTGATGTGTTAATTGCTTCTATAATGTCTTCTATGCCAGAGATTTTCTCTTCTTTTTCTTGTATTGTGTTGGTGATGACTGTGTCTAGATTTCCTGTTCTCTTCCCTAGAATTCCCATCTCCTGGATTCCCTTAGTTTGTGTTTACTTTATTAGTTTTATTTCCCTTTTCAGAGATCAAAGTTTTGTTCAGTTTCTTTACATTCTTTATTATTATATTTTCTTGTATTTCCTTAGGGATTTTTTTCATTTCCTTGATAAGGCCTCGATCATCCTCATAAGATTGAATTTGAGGTCATTTTCTTGAGCTTTGCCTGTGTTAGGATATCTAGGGCTTGCTCTAGTAGTATAGCTGGACTCTTGATAGGATATTACCCTGGCTTTTGTTGATTTTTGTTCTTAAGCTGGCTTTTGGCCATCTTGTTGTCCCTGGTGCTCATTGGCCATGAGGAATGCAATTAGAGTTGTGGGCCTGGTGGTGCCAGATGTTGGCAGGCCTGGTTGTCTCTGCTGCTGGTAGGTCTCAGGGAACACAACCAGACCTAAATGTCTCTGATGCCAATAGGCCTTCAGAAATGCAGGCAAAACCGTGAGCTTGACAATCTATATGGAAGTTATAAGATATTACTAGTGAAGAGTTGAAAATATGACTTTAAAATAGAAAAAATTAGTCAACGGCCACATGATTTTAATAAAATCTGATATTTTTTCAAGACTATTTACTCAATATGAGAGCAAATTTCAAATAGGCAATTTTAATGTTACCTAGAACCATCATTCAAATGTTTTTCATTATTATTGTAACTTCTGTGTATTAGTAGGGATCAGAGTATTTCCAGATTTGGGGCCCCTGACTCAAGAATGAAATCAAGGCTCCTAGAAACTGCAAAGTACTAAGAAAACTTCATTCAAAGAAAAACAGAAGACAAGCACTCTGTCAGTATTGACAGCAGACCATGTGAATATTCAAGGGTTTCTTACTGCATCCGATTTTAAGGAATTTATGACTGAGGAGGGCCGATTGAGTGAGTCTCGGTATGGACTGACATGGTTGATTACATAAGCCCCTGCTCACTGTGCATGAC